GACTGGTTTGCTGTTCAGTGGTAATTGGTTGGCAACTTGGTTAGTCGTGACGTTCGGGGAGACCTTGGGTTGGGTGGGGTCGCAGGAGAGTTTCCGAATAACTGACCAGGCTCTCTTGCTATTGTGTTTAAGGTCGATATTCTCGACCATGTTGCACCATGTTTTTTTTTTCTATCAGTAAAAGCATCTTCATGAAACAGACGGCTGTATTCTTTATATAACTTGGTTCCCTACTTTGAGAGTCCTGGCACGTAATTTTTACAGCATCCTCTAGGGATACTAGGAGAGCATTCTTAGACAATCTGGACAAAGGTTTTGTAATTTCTTGAATTAGGAGTTAGATCAAGAATTCTGTTATCTATGAGATACAAAAAACTTTGCCACCCTGCTTTTGCAAAATTAAAACGTCTTCTGAAATGTACCTCTATAGGTTTGACAATTTGTTCTATACAGCATTTTATTGGTCGGTGTTGGGTGGACGGTATTGGGTCGAGTACTTCCTTTCTAGAGGTTGTTTGTAGGTTCTCGGAGACAAAGACTAGATCTGGGTTGTATCCTCTTCTCCAACGAGAGCTGTTAAATGATCTTGGTTGTTTGAGATCGTGAATTAAACTGAATTTGTTCGCTTCAGACCATAATTCTAGAGCTTCACCATCCTTCATCCAGCTCCACCACTTTTTAACTGTGATATTGTTAATATCATGCACTCCATTGACCCCCTCAACGCCTTTGATATGTATCATCTTCCGCTGGTTGTTAAACTGCCTGGCATTATGTATCAGCCTCAGAGTAGTCAGACTTCTCTTCCTTTTTATGATTTTTATAAAGGTGATTGTGCTTCGATTATCGGTGCACTAAACTCTGTTGATTGGAATGTCTTTTGTGTAATGATGATATTAATGTCAATATTGATCTGTTTTATCACAACTTATATGAAATTATTGATAGGTATATACATTGCCATTGTACTACTCCCTCTATGATTTCTGTATGGTATTCTCGATGGCTCATTGCTGGTATTTACGAGCAGAAAAAAGCGCATAAACAAAATATGCAAAAGAAATCACAAATTGCCTATTTTGCTTTTTTGGGATTGAAGGCAAATTGTAAATTCCTGCAATTGAGTAGTCACTCAAGCTATACGAGCAATATTGAAATTTCGATTTCTACAAATATGTAAAAATTTTTGGAAATATACAAAGTCGTTATATGGAAAAGATGATTAACCATTTAATATGCACTATGGCTCGAGTACGAGTTGCGGATTGGGGGAATCTGTTAATTTATTTGCAAACTTTTTTTTGGTGATGTTAACTCATCAATTGTTTCTTCCGTTACACCAGTTACTGCAAGTAAGTATAATACCTCTTCATTTACACCCGAGACATATTTTATACCCAAATCGACTATTTTCAAAGAAATTGTAAAGCTTGATGCAAACAAGAGTGCTGGTCTAGATGGCATTCCCAATTACTTCATGAAAAACTGTGTTAAAGCCATTTCATATTCACTTTGGCTTCTTTTCAACAGATTCTTGAGATGTTGCATTTCCCTAATGGCCAAATCCTCCCTATTTTCAAGAAGGGTGATAAACTCTTTAGCGTCATTCCAAAATATTCAAAAAAATTATATCATGTTACTTATTTTCGGATTTAAAGACCTTTGTATCACCTGCGCAACATGGTTTTATGATCTACTGTTACAAATTTGGTCCTTTTGCACAAAGTGATTTGTGATGCAACGTCAAGAGGAGCCCAACTAGATGTTATTTATACTGATTTTTCAAAGACCTCTGATCACATTAACAATGTTATTTTACTTGCGAAATTAAGGGAGCTTAGAATAGGAGGAGGTTTGCTAAATTGGATTGGTAGTTACCTGACAGACAGAAAGCAAACTTTTTTGTATTAAAGGCTATTCATCAGGTATACTTGATGTAACTAGTGGAGTTCCGCACAGTTTGCATCTTGGGTTTCTGCTTTATGCGGATGACGTGAAATTGCATAGGATTGTTAACAATGATGATGTTGCTTTGCTCCAGCAAGATCTATGCAATTTGCATACAGTATCTTACGCAAAATGGGACACGAGTGCCCTTGTCGATGTGCACTGGCTCGCACAGCAGTTGGGGAAAGCTATTATCTCAGCTTACTTTGTAGCTTGAGCTGTGGGCACAATGCATCTCACCAAGAGCACTTTTTTGCCATTTCGCGATAGTTTAATTCGTTAATCTACGATATGCATTAAGTAACTCGTGTGCACAGGCATCGTTGTGCATTGACTTATCTGACTTCAATAGCATTAAGTGACGTGTGTGAACACAACGCATGTGACACAGGCCTCAATGTCATAATAAATTTTTGATTCCCTGGGGTTTCAATATTTCCTTTAAATGCTTTGAATTTTTTTCGTGCAATATTGGTGAACATTATTATACAAAGCTACACTTGATGACACAAGGTCCCTATTTTTTCATCCTATAGTTTTGTCCAAAATTCCAAAATGGAGAGTTGAAACCAATTGCATTGCCTTGTGTAGCGACAAAATTAAACAACCTGAATATTGAATTCAACCCAAAAAATTCCTTGAGCTTTTCTACGATATTATGTCGATGAACTCTCACTTATTGGTCACCTTGTCATTATCATTTGAATATTATACCATCTTATGGGCACATATGTGAACGCTATAGAAACAATGGTCCAAATAAAGCATTTTCAGATCCATTTCTAGAAAACTATGACACCGATGTAAATTAAAATTATGACAGAGTATAAATGAGTTCTTCTAAATTATTTAATACCAGTTTCACTGTAATATCTTTCCTGCTTTTTTTGTTATTACTATTTTAGTTTATTATGACTTTTTTTTCTTCCTTTCTTCTTCTCTTTAACTAATTTAGTTTATGAAACTGTAGCAATGTCTGAATCTACAGCAAGTAGATAAATCAGATTGGGCAGGCTTTTAGATTACATAATTCTCTCAATATTAGACTACTATGACATAATTTAACAGTTCTTTGTGAAAAAAATTTTTAATTACGTGCTTAAAAATTGAATACTTTTAAAACAGTTCAAGCCATTATATTTCTGTTTGTGTTAAAACTACATTATTGTAAATAGTGGCCTCAACCTAATCTGAATATATCATCTTTTGTATCTTACATAGGTTATTTTTTTTCTCTATAAGATCTATATGATAAAATGTAACTTAAGGTAATTTCACTTTTTAAATTTGGCATTGACTATGCAAAAACCCTGATCCGTCATCAACAAAAGGATACTAAAATGAAAATACAGAACAAACAAGCAAGCATTGCAACATGCTGTTCTTGCCAGACTTCACCACAGCTATCAACGACTGCAACAAAATTTATTCCATCCAAATATCTTCAGTTCAAGAAATAAAATTAAACAAAATTTGACATTTAAAAGAAGCATGGCAGCTTGCCACAAATTTTTAGAATTGCTATTTAAAAATCTTCCCCAAATTTTACACATATAACACAAGCAAAATGTTGCTCAGAAAAGATTGCGTAATTTTTTTATAAAAAAATTAAAAATCGATTTTTTACTTCTTCTGTTATGAATATATAAGCGTAAAATGCGTGTCTGAAATAATTTAGCATGGGTGGTACAGGAATTTATCTGGGACTTACAAAAAACAACGTATAAACGTGAAATACAAGTGCAAAACGTATGAAATGTACGCAAAGTCGTACAGTCTGTATGTACAGTAAGAGTCAATTTTCACAGTACTAATTATCAAAGAAAACAGATTTTATAACTACACTATAATGCTGAGTAGCCTGAATTTCTCATTGAAGTGCAGAATGAAGTGTGCTTTAATGTTGTTGCACGTTATTTTATTTTTGGTACATTTAGCTAGTTAGTTAGTTAGTTGTTTTTTTCCTTTTCTTCTCTCTCTCTCTCTTTTTTCTCCTTTCTTTTTCTCCCCACAGACATATTGCTCTTCCCCGCAAACAAATTGTTAACTGGCTTCCTCTGACAGCTATCACACAACTCTTTTGCACCTATGAACACCAAAGCAAAAATGAGAAGCACTTCCTTTGTTCAAGAGATATAATCACCTACTCAGCTCCCTCCCTCCACAGACCACAGAGCATTTGCCATGAGCACCTATACCCTTAATGGGTAATATGTTTTACAGCTTGACAAACTGCACGAAAATATTACAGAATGGGCAAAATGAACTTGCTTCTAAATGAAAATCAGGCATTTAAAAAAATTACTGGTTCAAACTCGCTAGAGGTGACCACTTAATATAGGTCAATCTATGAAATGAGCCTGCTCGCTAGCCATGGGCCAGTTGACCATTTAAATAAGGGTAAATTTACATGTGTCTTATGGAAAAATCTATGTTCCACACATAAAATACCATTACAAGGAGTTACTGTTTGCGGTAATCAAAGTGGCTGTTTGAGCTAATTTTACTATATCCTTAAAAACTCCCTGAAATACATTTTTTGTTAGTTGCTTTACTCTTGGAGATAGCTTTAGATTTTAGATAATAAGAATGCTGTCATCATCACCATTTGTCTAATAACTGTATTAACTTATTAATATAAGCAATGAATACTTCAAAACACCAAGATTTTTAACTGAGTTTTGCTCCTATTCCTATTATATTCTAGAATTATTCACTTAAACTATTTTGTTTAGTGAATTTTTAGTAAACATTAAATTAAGGCACTGAAGTGTCAATCTGTTGGGCACAATAGCCACCCCCTATTGGGCTGCTTCATTAAAAGCACATATATTTGAACGTTATATCACAAATGACAATGCAAAATATGCCGATTCTGAGAACCTTCATGGGTGTCCGATGAGCAGCCTGACCTGTGCCTTATCTTTGACAGATAAAAGAAATACTTGCATGCTAACTGTTTCTTGACACATGATAAGTGTAACAAGAAATATCAGATTCTTAAATGTACATAATCCTTTAAGTTTCTTAATAACAAAATGTTTGGAACCAACCTTGTATTTTTTCTTCAATAAAGGAAAAAGTGCAACTAGGTTTGGAGAAGTGTCCTTTCGGTAAACTTTGGTTGCAATGGCTACTTTCTCCTGGTCTTTGAGAGCTTTAATGAAAGCTGAGAGAACTTGTTGGGCTGCCTGTATAAAAAAACACAGTGAATGAAAGTATTATACAACTATAAACTAATCTTTGCATTAAAGAAAAACAGTGAATTTGAAGAGGTACACTACACATGTGAAACAAACAAGGTATCAAAACCTGGAACAAGCAAAAGATATTTTTAAAAAATGCTAGGTAATTAGACAGTAGGTAATTTGATTCATCAAACCAAGGCAATGCAACAAAAAAGATGTCTCTGCTACCCAATTTTTAGGTTTGAATTTGAAAATTTGATGACATTAAAAGTGCCTGTGATGTGTGTGTGTGCGTGTG